GTCCTGCCCCTTTGACATGCCAAGTGCCCTCATGTCCCTAGGCGCCTTGCGTTAGCTTAAAGTTATTACCAAGATGAGAGGGGTAGTTGAGAGCACACAGCATCTTTTAGAGGAAAGCCTCTTAGGTCAAATCAAGATCCTATTAAAATCAATAGAAAGGCTCAGTTTCTCACAGTGAGATAGGCATGCTGACAGGTTGTGTTATATGAAGGGATTATCATGTGATGGATGGTTACGACAATAAAGAACAACACTTTGAGGCATGCAGAGATTTTTAATTCATACATGAATCAAAAAACAATATACCCCTGGGTAAACTGTTCATCTCTACAAGTAAGGTTTTAACTAAAAGCCATAAGGAATAATTTAAAATATAGCTATGCTTTCATGCATGCAAATGGAACTTGATGTCCTTTTCAGGGAAAAATTCCCATTTGAGATCAATGGCATTTTCCCTGAGGAAGATTTTAAGGACTGTGGTGTATTCAGAGTTGCCCTTTTGAATCAACTGAAATTATATATGGTCCCCACTGTTCTTTCCTCCAAAAAATGTTTTTAAAAAATCTTTTGTGTTAGGAACAATTTCCATCTAGTTTTTTTCACCCAAACTTGATAGGCTTTTCTAACACTTAAAATTTACCTGTATAAATAAACAGGCTTGAAGGTATCAAGAGGCCCAGGAAGGAACTACTTCCTCTGCACTGATTATTTACATAAAAAAAATTTGAAGCTAGAATATGCAAAATGACTGAAATGAGAGGAGAAATGAAAAGGTGAAGATTATATTTTTCAAAGACAATTTACAAGGGTTTCATCAGGTGAGGACAGCAAGGGATAGGAGATGCTCTGGTTACCAGGGCACCCTTGGAGTAACTAGAAATAACAGCCACAAACTGACGGAGAGCAGATTCAGGTTAGACATCTGGAAGAACTTCTTTATGGAAAGGGTTGCCAGAATCTGGAATGGGCTGCCAAGGGAGGTGTTGCTCTCCCCTACCTTGGGGGTCTTTAAGAGGAGACTGGACAAGCACCTGGCTGGGGTCATCTTACCCCGCTGCTCTTTACTTTCTGGGGCAGGGGGTCAGACTCCATGCTCTGCTGAGGTCCCATCTAACCCAAACATCTATGAATCTCCCAGAAATTGATTTGTTCTAGCTTCTCATTGACAGATGCACATGTACTACTTTTTAATAGTTTTGCTTTTTACTTTTTCACCACACATTGGTACAAACCTACCACTTATTTCATTGTTACATCTAACCTAACCGTAGAAAGTACTCGCTAGGTGAGCATGCCTGTCGCTTTATTTATAAAAATGTGGCTATTCTGTGCATATCTCAGACTATATTTGCAGGGTACTTGCTGTAGCTTCAGATTGGGAACTCCTTGAGCTGATGATGTGGTTGGAAACTCCTTGAGCTAATGATGTGGTAGATGTTGATGTACTTCACTTGACATAGCAAACACAGGGTGCTATGTAAACAGCAGTAGTACTGGGTAGTGCCTTCAAATTCAACAGTGGCTCTCTCCATAGCTGGGGAAGCTCCAAAGCAAGAAGGCTCCCTGTGTGACAATATAGAGGATGTATCCAGCAAAGAGAAAAATATGGAAGCTTACCATTATAAAATGTGACACAGCACATTTTCCCAGAAAAGCCAGATCAGCTGTTCTGTGCCTACTTGTACTGTAACCTTCTGTAAGTAACTATAACTTGAAACCTAGCCATATGGATGTCTGCATTGCCCTGCAGCAGAAGCCTTCAATCTGTTTTTAAGCTCTCCTTATTACAGCATGTTTCCAAGCCCTCCCTCTCCAGTTGCTCAACATGTTGCTTGTCTAAGAAAGTGAGACACTGCACGTCTGCATGAGGGCAGTTGATCCGGATAGGTAAATCGGCTGATTCTCAATTTAAACTCCCTTGCTGGCAGACTGGAGAGGAAGGGAGAAATGCAGTTTATGAGAAGTCAAAACTGCAGTCTCAATTTTTGCCTGTAAGTAAAATGAATAACAGAAGAAGACCCAGGGAGTACCAGGCGATTCTTCAGTTCAGGGAGTTTGCTGCAGAGCCCTGGGGCTGCCTGATGTGTCCTCCTCAACTAGCAGGATTTTAAAATACACAGGCAGGATGGATGGATGGATGGATGGATCCTATCTGCCACCAATACTTCACCCTCTTGTGCGTGGAGCTACTGCTGGCAGCCTGAATGCTTAAATATGTGTGGCAGATACTGTCCTGGCTCCGGATTACAGAGCAGAAAATCCACAGAGCAGTTGGCTATAAGGGGGAAGGGGTGATCGCTGACTCCAGCGTGCTGTGCTGTAATAGCCGGGGAGGGGGGCTGGTTTATTCTCCCACCTTTGGGGGTCACAGCTGTTCAATTCAGCGGTGTCCCTGCCTCCTCCGAGTCTGATCAGCAGGCGAGCACTTCACCCTCGCAACACGTGCAGGCAGCCGGCACTCACTTCCCGCACCACAGCGGCTGGGGGCAGTCTCCCCCCAAATCGGGGGCGCCTGATGGGCAGAAACACTGACACTGCTCCTCTGGGGGTTGTGCAGCCCCGCCCGGAAACCTGCTGGCCCCGCACAAATGCAAAGTCAATCTTCGGGGTTTTGTAACAGCCCCCCCCGCCCTTTCTGTTTTTTCTTTTAATCATCCTCTGATTGGCATGAGGCTGGAGATGGGGCAGCAGCGTTTGGTTTCTGAATAAATAGCTGCATGGGAGGAATGAAAGGTCTTTAGGGCTTGGGGCTCCTCTTGACTCCTCTGCCCCCTCCCCCCCCGTGCAGCAATAACCACGTTGCAGATGCAATGAGCAACAGGGACAGAGAGAGAGAGAGAGAGAGAGAGACTGTGTGCGTGTGGGGGGGGGGAGGGGTTGCATTGGATTTCCCCTTCCCCTTCCCCTTCCCCCTCCACCTTCCTCCCCCTCCCAACTCCCTTGGCTTGGCAGCCTAGGAAAGACGGCTGGGTTTTCTATTTGATCTTGCATCTCTTAAGGGCAGGATCTCCCTCCCCTCCGGATCTTCAGTCGACTGTTAGCCCCCCTCCCCCAGAGTGGAAGGAGGTCACTCTCACACACACACACACACACTCTCACTCTCTCTGCACCTCCCTCCCCCCAGAGTGGAAGAAGGACGGACAAACACGCGCACACACATTCACACGCGCACTCACACACAAGCACGCACACCTTCACTCGCACGCACACGCTGTGCCTCAGCTTCTCTGCAGCAGCAGCAGCAGGTGCTGAGAAGACAGGTGCAGAAGCCATTCATCCCCCCCCCCTCTTTTTTCTCTCTCAGACACTTCAGTCAAGCAAATCTTTTTCTCCCCCACCCCTGTCCATTCCCCCTTGTCTTGGTCTCCGCCGCCTCCAACACTGTCCCCTTCCCTCCCGCGGGGTTGCTTTGCCAGTCCCGCAGAGGGGAGGCGGGTGGCGGGCGCGCTCCGCTCCTGCTGCTGGGGCAGGACGCGGGGAGGGGGGCTTCCCCTTCCCCTTCCCTTTCCCCTCTCGTTACTCTCGGGCTTCTTGGCTCCGGGATTTTTCCCTCCGCTCCGCCCGGCCTTCCTGGGGAGAGGGGAGAAAGCCGCGGGGGGAGGGGGGGAGGCAGTGCCTGTCTCTGGACTCATTGCCAAGGGCAAGCGCCGTGTCCGCCGCCCAAGGGCTCGCCGCGAAACTTTTATTGCTCCTCTTGTGCGTGTGTGCGCGCGCGTGAGTGAGTGCGCGTGTGTGAATTAATGTGTGCGAGTATGTGTGTGTGAGTGTGAACGTGTGTGTAGGTGCATGTCAGTGTATGTGTGCGCGCGCGCGTTGGTGTGTATGTGCGTGTGTGAATGTGAGTATGTGCGCGTGAGTGCGAGTGAAAGTGTATGTGAGTGTGTGTGCAGGTGTATATCAGTGTATGTGTGCGCGCGCGCGTTAGTGTGTATGTGTGTGCGTGTGACTGTGTGCGAGTGTATGTGTGAGTGAAGGTGTGTGTGAGTGTGTGCGCGCGCGCGCGTGCGTATGTGCGTGCGTTTGAATGTGTGTGTGCATGCGTGAGAGTGCGGGAGTGAGTGTGTGCGCGCGCGTGTGTGTGTGTGCTGCTGCGTGTGTGTGACTGTGTGAGTGCGTGCGTGTGCGTGTGCGCGCGTGCGGCATGGGGCAGCCCGCGCTCAGCCCCGGGCAGACGCGGCGGGACCTGCGCCTTGCGGAGCCGGGAGAGCCGCGGAGTTGGCGTCTGCTTCTCG